GATGCCAGCATTTGTGATGACTATTAATAAATCACAAGGACAAACTCTAGATAGAGTAGGAATATTCCTACCTGAACCAGTTTTTGCACATGGTCAGTTATATGTTGCTTTCTCTTGAGTTTGAAGAGCATGTGACATTAAAGTTAAAGTTCTAAATATTTCATCACAAGGGAAATTAGTCAAGCACTCTGAAAGTGTTTTCACTCTTAATGTGGTATACAGGGAGATATTAGAATAAGTTTAATCATTTTATCAGTCATTGTTTGCATCACTGTTGTTTTTATATCATGTTTTTGTTGTTTTCATACCATGTTTTGTTGTTTTTATATCATGCCTCTGTTGTTATATCTTTTTGTTACTGTTTATTTATTAATACATTTATATATTATTTTCATATACATTTTACTAATTTCATCTCTCACACTTCTATTACAGAGAAAGGGCAAATAGCAATATTAAAATATTTCCTCTAATTAATTCCCTTTTAATGTGCATGAATCTCATGCACCAGGCCACTAGTATAAATATATTAAGGATCAAGAGCCAGGATTCTCACTTTCAGAGAAGAAAGTTACAAATATTGAAGGGTGTGTGGACCTAAAATGTAATCATTAGCTGGTGATTTCAGTGTAGCCTGAGGAAGTAGCCTCGGTGGACCAAGTGAAGTCTCTGAAGAAATTTACCAAGAACATCAGACTGATCTAGCAAAGACTGAGTGACAGCTGGTAAAGTACTCAAAACACCTGCTCTTAGAAAGTAAGACCCCATAACTAGAGCTGGGGTGCTGCCACTTGAGAGTTGCCTGAGAGGACCCCTAACAGCCACATCATCCTCCAGGTCCCCCTGAGTCTTCATAGAACAGTAAGTCTTGTTCCTGCTTTCCTTTTTGCAAAACCATTTCCTTTGTTTCCACCATAAATACATCATGTGTGGTATAAGTATAAGGGAACTATTGGAAAAGTTGTACTGGGCACTTTAATTTTGCAGTGAGTTTCTATAACGAAATTTTGGTCAAGACATAGCTCTGTGAAGAGCTTGGCACTAACAGCCTGGAACTCTTTGCTAAGATCCTCCCCACTTTTCTCTATCAGGTCTCTCAACAGATTCTTAGGTCTCTACATTGTTTCCACAGTGTCTCCTCCCTGCCATTGGTGAAAAGCAGGCTCTGCCCTGGTGGGGGAAGGGAGCACAATAACTTTCCCTTGCCCACGTGAGATAGTTGCCACAAAATTTTGTCCCTAACCTGTCATTTCCTACACTTTCAAGAGATTAGGAAACAGGACCCCACTTAGTTGAAGGTACCAGGTACCAGTACAGATACCAGTAGGCCTTCAGGTTTCATCTTTAAACATGCCTTATACCAATTTTCCCACCAGTAGCATCCTTCAGATGGCTTTGCAAGATGAGCAGCAAATGGGAAGAGCAACTTCTGTCAACCTCTGTTTTGTGATAACGACTACACACTCTGCTTGATTGACAGCCTAGATTTAGTCTTCAGCCAACTGCACTGAATACTGCCCTTCAGGAAAAGGACCCCATAGAGTAACAGGAAGAGTTCAAAGTGCAGGTGCAAAAGGAGCCCATATGTGATCCTACCTGGAGTGAATGGGACGAACAAAGAGGCCCAGCACAGGTTCCTGGTGGTGCTCAAGGCAGCAGCACCCAAATTCTGTCTTCACTGACATCAGATTTTTTTTGGTCAATTTGTAGTGCAAAGTGATTAATTTAACATTCATTGTATGTACATACAACAAAAATTCCTTATTTTGTTTTTGTTTTTTTGTTTTTCAGGTAAAACTGTGCTCTCCTTTTAATTCATGTTTCCTTCTTGGTTGCTACTTTAGTAACAAGTAGGTCCCCACCTCTCAAGAACATTGAATCTGAACAACCAGTGTGAACACAGGCCCCAACCAGGGCTTCTGGAATAACAAGAACAGCAAAACCAGCTTCTTCTTTTTAGAAAGCATCTGTGAGTTGGAGGGTCCAAAGCTCCACTCTCTAGAAAGAAAATCTGGGTCTCAATATAAAAATGAAAACCAAATTGTATCAGAAATGAAGCATAGTACCTCATATACTCAAGGTCAAGACAGTTTTTGAGAAATAAGTGTCTGATTATCTGGCCTCTTGTATTAGGAATGGCCCCATTCCAGCATTTATGAAGGAAAATGTTTTTATTTCTATTTCATTTACCAAACGGGTATAAAATCTACTAAAAGGGAGATAATGAATCAGAATAAATCAGCTCACTCACAAGAGACACTCCTAGATAATGATTTCTAATTGCTGAGAGTATTCAGCACGTTATTTCAAAGTGGCAAACTTACAGGTAATCTCAGAGGAGAATTCGAAAGCAGCAGCCACAGTCACTGGTAATTATGTGAGATACACAGACATATAACCCCATGTCTTTCAAAGTATATGTCAAGGGGCAAAATCCCCTGATCATCAGAATAAGTTATTTTGTACATTACAGTGCACAGATCAGTAGAGGGAAAGACTTTCTTGGAGAGTGACTGAAAGGCATTTGCAAAAGGTTCATATCACTCTGAGTGGAAGGCCTGGAGCCAGTGCTGCAGCATGGCCTTCATTAGCTTGACCCCTCCTATTCTTTGGTTGTGGTGGCCTTAGCTAGAGCTGCCTTTTCTAAACGTTCTGCTGGCTTCTCCTCCTTCTCCTCCTCTTCCTCCTTGTCCTCCTCCTCCCCCCTCCTCCTCCTCCTTATCTTGGGGATAGAGGTCCAGGTACTTCTGCATGCATTCCTGCATGGCCCAGAACTGGTCTACACAGTCTGATCCTTTGAGATCCTCCGTGCTATAGTGGAAGCAGGAACAGGCTGACTTGAACTGTTCCCCACAGGGGCCACTAGCCATTCCCCCAAGGCACGGGCAGTTTCAGTTAATGTCTCCATTGGGCAGGATCAATCCATGCTACTCGTATGGATCATTGGGATCGTCAGCCACTAGCTCTGCATTGCTTGGAGTTTCATGGACTTCTTTGGTCACAAATATAATTCGATCCTTCCCTTCCTGCCGGCAGTAGGCCATGGCTGCAACCCAGCGCTCAGACCTCGCGGTGGTAGCGGCAGGAGCAGCAGCAGGAGCTGCAGCTTCACCCCGTGACCTCTTCTCTGGTAGGGCGGGAGGCTCCGAGGCCCACGTGAACCCGTCCCCTTCAGGCCTGCCCGCTGCACACCTCAAAAACTCCTTATTTTGAAATATTGGATGAAAAAATTCAATTGGATTTTAAATCCATTACATTTGTAAACAAAGAAAAGAAAGAGCCCTAAACTTTTAAAATACAATGTAAAAGAATGAGAATGCCCTGGCCTGTGTGGCTCATTGGTTGTATGTCATCCTATGCATTGGCAAGTTGCTGATTCAATTCCAGGTCGGGGCACATGCCCAGGTTGTGATCAATTGGATTTTAAATCCATTACATTTGTAAACAAAGAAAAGAAAGAGCCCTAAACTTTTAAAATACAATGTAAAAGAATGAGAATGCCCTGGCCTGTGTGGCTCATTGGTTGTATATCATCCTATGCATTGGCAAGTTGCTGGTTCAATTCCAGGTCGGGGCACATGCCCAGGTTGTGGGCTGGATCCATATTAGGGGACATGTAGGAGGCAGACAACCTATGTTTCTCTCTCACATGGATGCTTCTTTTTCTCTCTGGTTGTATCTAAAAATCAATAAAAAATCTTTTTTAAAAAATAAAAGAATTGGAATGAAAAAGGTTTTAAAATTTGTATTATCTACTTGTGAACTAAAATATCTCACCAATGGTGACTATGAAGAAATTGAAGACATAATTAATCATTATAATTGAACATTGATAATTATCTGTAGTTATTTCAAATATACAATCAGCAGTCAAAAACGTATATTTGTTCAAAATAATTAATATTTTTCAAAACGTGTTAATGTGGCTAACACACATTTGAAATAAGCCATATTACTCTCAAGAGAGCACATATCTTGGTAGCTATCCTGCAATCCAACTCTCACTTTGCTTACTCCTACCTCCATGTAATCTTCCTTACTTCCCCTCCTTAGTTTCAAATGCATAAGAGAAGCTGAAAAACTGTTATTCTAGGGAGTATTTTAGATCTTTTTCCATGGCATGCTTCATCAGTTTGGCTCAGATAAACTCATATAAAAACATTTTTAAAGCTATATTTAATGAAGCAAACTAAAAAATTTCAGATTTTTAGGAACATTCTTTCTAAATTTATATTTAACATATTTATTTTTTTAAATATGTCTTTATTGATTTTTTAGAGAGAGAGGAAGGGACAGAGAGAGAGATGGAAACATCTGAGAGAAACATTGATTGGCTGCCTCCTGCATGCCCCTACTGGGGATCAAGCCTGAAACCCAGGCATATGCCCTGAGCAGGAATCAAACTAGCAACCTTTCAATGCATGGGATGATGCCCAACCAACTGAGCCACACCAGCTGGGCACATCTACACTAATAAAAGAGAAACATGCAAATTGACCATCCCTCTGCTATGCCCACCAGCCAATCAGAGTGAGTATGCAAATTAACCCAACAAAGATGGCAGTTAATTTGCATAGACAAGCACGGAGCGAAGACTGAAGACAGCGTAGAAGGAAGTCAAACGCTGCAGAAGGGAGTGAAGTGGCAGAGAAGGGAGGGAGCTGAGGCAGCGGACATGGGAGTGGAGCCCTGGCGGGCTTCGCTCCCTTCTCTGCTTCACTCTGGATGCAGGAAGCCCTATTCTTGCAGGAATATTCCTGCAATGGGCCTCTAATATATATATAAAATTCTATTTTATTATTCTTATAATTATATAATATAGAGAAAATAATTTTCCCATAAAGCCCATATAGCCTAATCCCATTCTAGTTTACTACAGTGTGCTCAACAAATAACATCATTTTCTCTATGTGCCATAATATCAAAAAGGTTGAGAAGTGCTGCCTAGTCCATGGAGAAGTAATATATGCTCCATCTTTGTAGTGCTTCCATGGTCCTTAAGACCTTGCACAATTATATACCACACTAGAGGCCTGGTGCATGAAATTCATTCACAGGCGGTGCAGGCTGGGCTGGTCCCATCAGCCCAGCCTGCACCCGTTCGGTTGTGATGGTTGCTTAGGCTTTTATATAAATAGATGCCTCTACCAGCTCAGGATCCATTCCCCCACATATTACCTCCACTCCACCTAAAGAGAATATGGCCTTTGGAATGCCTTCCCCTCCCTTCTTTGGGCCAGCCTTCCTAGAGACTCCCTCCGCAGCAAGATCTCTGAGCCCTGGGCTCTGGGTAACAAACTTCACAGCCATGGCCACCAAATTCTAAGTTTTAGTGGTTGATGAGGTATGTTACAGCCCCTTCCCCACTACTACTACTAATTTCCAAGTTCTAGAATGGGACATTAGAAGCCTGCCTTGGCCAGGTGAAGAAGGTAGTGGGGCGGGAAATGATAGAAGCCACCTGTTTATTTTTGTTGGTCCAAGGCAGAGGAACACCTTAGCTCTTGATTCCTCTAGAAAGCAAGGTCCTGCCACTGGGTCACATTATGTACAGACAATGCACATTTTGGCGTGAGTCATCAGTATGTAGAAGGTATCTAGAGCCATGAGTACCCTATAAATTCCTGAAAATCAAAGTCACAAAACTTGTAGAAAAAGGAGCATGAATCTTACTTTGCCCCTCACCTTATTCCCATAGATAAGACATGCCCCTTACCTGTCCAAGAGTGAAATTCCTAAATTCCTTCCTTTCTCTGACCCTTCATTAAATCTCAGAGTTCTCCTTTTTTCTCTCTCCTCATTACAGTGTTTTCCTCCTTTTCCAATGAGTCATCAGCACAAACCCTTGAGATCACCCTGCCTCGGTCACCTGAGGAGGCAGCAAATCTCTACAATTTATCATGGCAGCCTCATCTCACTCTACCTCTGCTTCCAAATGGTTGTAGGTATGCATTCTTATGAGTTTCTGATTCTCCGTTATGTAAGGGAAGGGAAAGGAAAATGGAGGGGAGATGGAAGAAAAGTTTGACAAAAACACAAATGCTATGAGATCCTGGAAAAGTAAAGAAGATAACTTTATTCCACTTACTAAGTACCAGGCAGTGTACTAAGCATTTGCATCCCTATTTCCTGGTCAAGGCCTGTTGATGTGTGTGTGTGTGTGTGTGTGTATACATCTGAGTGCATGTGATGTGGTGGGATAAAAATAGAGAGAATGAAAGTGCCCATATGGTAATAAAGAAGCATAAGTTCTTAGAGCCTCAAGACAATGTAGAATAAGATTGACAAAAATTAGCTTGTTTGCCCCATTTTCTCATGCCACATTCATGGCAAACATTATTAATGATTTCCAAATGTCTTTTCCACTGATTGCTTCAGATTCTTTCTCAACACAGATATCCTACTATCCATCCAGAGCTACCAGAGTTCCTGTGTGATCTCCCCCTCCTATGGACAAGGACAGAACCTGACCTGAAGGAGTTAGCATGTCTATTCCCCCTTCTCTGCAATTACATTCCTCAGCTCCCTCCCCACAGGGTGAGTTAAGAGAGGAGGCTAGGGCCCAAATTTTAAGAGGCACTTTCTTTCAGGATCTTGTTGACCCTGGACATGTGCCCCAAAAGTAAGTGCCTAGTCAACATTTATGCCCCAAGTCTTTTGCTTGCCTCAGCATAGCCAGGCCTAGATTTCCTATGTCCAACACCTCCAGCTTCCTGCTAGCTCTGTGTGTATGTTCAGGTCAGAAAAGGGACTCCCTAAGATTCAACAACTATTCCCTTTCAGACCTTCTCCCCAGTTGGTTAAGATGGAAATAGCCAAACATGTGTGTAGTCAACACCATTTCATCTGCCCAAATCCTGCCCCCAACCCACCCTGATTCTATCTCTGTTCTCTTTTCAGGAGCATTCCAAGTCCAGGGGCCCCATGACCCCTTGGTGGCCATGCTGGGTGGTGAAGCAGAGCTGCCCTGCTTCCTCTCACCTCCTCAAAGAATTAAAAATATGAAAATAACCTGGAACAGATCCCTACCCTCCCGAGTGGTGCACCTGTATGAGGATGGGAGGGACAAGCCTGAGGAAGCTATGGCGGAGTATTTAGGGAGGACAGAGCTTGTGAAAAATGTTATGCATAAGGGGATAGTGGTCCTGAAAATCCTCAATGTCCAACCCTCTGACAATGGGCAGTATCGCTGTGTGATCCAACATGGCTCCTTCTACAGTGATACAGTGATTGAGCTGAAAGTGGCAGGTAATGGCCCACATTTATTGCCCTGACACCCCACAGGGGTGAGTTTATTCTAGGATGGGCTCCTTCTTCTGATCCAATTTTCCTGGGAAATATAAAGAAGTCATAGGATAAAGGGAGATGGCAACTACTTCTAATCACCCCCATTATCCCATATATCACTGCTTGGATCTAAATAAAAGATAATAGAGATGCATAGTGGAAGTCAAGAAATAGGGGCCATTTGTTTTGGATTGTGTTGTACTTCTCTCTCACCCAGGAGTCTAAGTCCCATCCTTTGTTGCAAAAACTTCCTTAGAGCCTCAGTTCCCTGTTCTGCACACTGAGGTCTAGTCAGCAGCACAAACTCTTCATAAGAAGGAGAGGGCCGAAACCGGTTTGGCTCAGGGGATAGAGCGTCGGCCTGCGGACTGAAAGGTCCCAGGTTCGATTCCGGTCAAGGGCATGTACCTGGGTTGTGGGAACATCCCCAGTAGGAGATGTGCAGGAGGCGGCTGATCGATGTTTCTCTCCCATCGATGTTTCTAACTCTCTATCTCTCTCCCTTCCTCTCTGAATAAAATATATTTAAAAAATAAAAATAAAATAAATAAATAAATAAAAGAAGGAGAGGGATAAATGTACTGAAAAATGAGCTTAGGACCTGACTTCTCTCTGTTCTTCTTCCCAGCTCTCGGATCACATCCTCAGTTCCATGTGGAAGTCACTAGGTCCAGCCAACTCCGATTAGAGTGCAAATCAGAGGGCTGGTTCCCTCAGCCAAAGGTCCAGTGGATGGACTCTGAGGGAAGAGAAATTCCAGCTGAGTCTGAGACTCATACCCAGGACAAATGTGGCTTGTTCCATGTAACAACATCACTGTTACTCAGAGAAACTTCTCAGAAGAATCTGACATGTTCTGTCTGGAACCCAGTTCTGAATCAGAAAAAGGAAGAACACTTCTCCATAACAGGTCAGCTTTCTCTCTCCCCTCACTGTGCTCACATCCATGGTGGTGGCAACTCTAAGCACATAAGCTTGGTTCTGCTCTCTTCATCACATCCACACCAATCTTGCTGCCAGGAGCCAACTTCCCTCCTCTTTTTTCTAACTTCTCCCATCCTTTCCTGGCTAATTTTCCAGTCTTCACCTATTTAACCTCTCTATGGAATAGGACCTTCTTATCTTAGTCCATTCAGGCTGGCATAACAAAATGCCACAGACTAGATGGCTTATAAACAACAAAAATTTATTTCTCACAGTTCTGGAGGCTGCAAATTCATGATGAATGTGTCCACATAGTCAGGTTCTGGTAAAAGCCCTCTTTTGAGTTGCAGACAGCCAACTTCTCCTTGTGTTCTCATATGGTAGAAAGTCCTAGGAAGCTCAAGTAGGGTATGAGGTGGTCTCTTTTTTTAAGGACTCTAATTGTCCTTAAGTCAATGGGCTCAGAACCACAAATTGGGCATTTGGGATTTCAATATATGATTGTTGAGGGGACACAATATTCAAACCAGAGCACTCTACACCAGGTATCATTTTCATACTTTCACCTTACTAGCCCTCCAATAGGCCCATCTCTCCTGGTTCTCATTCTACAATGTTTCTCCTCAGCGTTTTTATGTTCTTTTCTCACTCTTCCTACATAACATATTGCAAAAATGCTATGACCATAAATGTAGATCAATTTTCTGTTAACATGCAGTTATGGTTTTGTTATATCTTCCTGATTTCACTTCCTGATTTCTACCAAGTCCTGTTGTCTTGCCACAGTTTTCTTAAGTTTTTATATTTCTGCTTTGTGCTATTCCTTCATAGAAGCTATTATTCTTTAATAGTCTTAAAATTCATGGCTAAATGTTTGGCTTTAATATTCATCTATGCTATGACAGCATTTTTCTAGCAAATCTTGATTATCTTTTTTCTCATAATTCCATGTGTAATCTTTGTACATGGAATGTTTCTATGCCAATATTACTGTCTTACTCATTATTACATGCATTGAATTTTCCTGGGCCAGCTATTTCACAAGTTTCTTGTGAGGCGGGGAGGCTAGTGTAGTCTTCCAGAGTAGATGATTCTCACATCCAACTGCAGCCACAGAGACAGGCTTCTTCCTACCAACATGCTCGTGTGTGTGAATAGTTGTATATCCCATGTCCTCTGCCTCTCTAAATACAAATAGGTCTAGGATGCACACCTCAGTTCCTCAACCATTTGTTACAAACAAGCATGTAGCTTTAATGCTTCAAGTTAGGCCCCTCATGCTCAGTAAGGATATTTTTGCTAGTGCTTCCTGACATTTGCCACTGCATGGTGTTCTCACCATTCTCCACATGGTTTCACTTTCTCCCACATAGCTTCTGTGTGATCAAATCTGCTTTTAGCAACCTTCACACCTATTTTAAAGTCTGATATTCACAGTTTTTTTTGTTCTTTCTTACTTTCTCCCTGCCCCCTTCCCCCCATCCTAGCATTTTTATTTCCAAAGAATAGTAACACACTGACTTAGGCAGCCATATTCATATTCGAAATCTAAAAGTTTGAATTTAAGTCAGATGTGGGGCAATTCTAGGTGATGACAAGTCCAGAAATGACCACTGAGAGCAAGTGGAGAAAAGTAGAGTCAAAGTGAAGACCTACGTCATTTGCCCTCTCTCTAGCTCTCTCTCCTTTTCTCTCACTGAGCTCTGGGCACACTGTCTTTGACTAGGTCCTCAAAGGCATCAAGCATTGCCTTACATGGGGCCTATGCACTTGCTCCCCCCTCTGACTGCAACTCTCTCTTCTGGCTTTCTTCTTAGTATAATTTATTTACAATTTGAGAGGGTGACATGGTGGGACACATCAAAATCCTGCTATGTCCCTAGTTCCAGTATCAGTCTTCTCCATCCATACCCTCCCTTTATTACTTCATACCTTCCTTCCTGAACTGTGTCTTATACCCCTGCACATACACATTGAATTGTTTACTTCTATGATAAAGGAAAATTCAACTTTCTTTAATTCCTACCTGCAAATTTGCTGGTCCAGACCCATCAGAGCCTCAGCTAAACTAAGGGCCTTTCATCTAGTAACCATAGTCCTTAGAAAGAGATTAAAATAAAAGGATGATGAAAACAATGTGTATCAGCCAGTACAATATCCACATACATTCTAAAGAGAAAGTCAGAGGAAACTGACAGGTAGAAAGGGAATAAGGCTTCTCTAAGGCTAATTGTCCATCTAAACCAGGTGTAGCTGAGCACTAAACTCAAGTTCTCAGTCTCTTAGCCCAGAATTATTTTCAGAGAAAGAGAAATGAACTGAGATAAAGTTTTGGAGCTAGAGAGAGGACAAATTACCTAGGTCTTCATTTTATGTTCACTTTTCTCCCCTTGCTCTGATGATCATTTCTGGGCTGGTCATCACCTAGGATTGTCCCACATCTGACTTAAATTCAAACTTTTAGATTTCTAATATGAATATGGCTGCATAAGTCAGTGTGTTCCTCAGAACATTGAATCCCATTTCTATGCGGTAGCTTTTCAATTATTCTCTCTATTCTTCATCTGGATAACTACTACGTATTCTCTAGTCTTGGATGAATTATTGCTTCCTTGGAGAGTGTTTCTTTTACTGCCCATCTAGCTGAATTAGGTTCCAGCATTATTCTTTTTTATAGTCCACTATGTTTTCATAACATTGGTACTAAAACGATGCAATTGTACATATATTTCCTTGTGCATTTATATTTATCATCTGTCATTCAGTATGTAGTAAGATTCTTGAAGATGGGGACAAGATTTTTTTAATCATTCAAAACCCACTGTCTAATATACCTTGTAGTACAAGGAACAAAGAAAGCATTCAGTAAATATTTGTTGTTAAAGAGTTCAATAAAGAAAAAAATGAAGATTTTGAAGGGCTTGTCCATGTGGACAGTGAAGTCTCTGAGGATAATGGCAGACCTTGGCCTGGAGGGTGTCATGGAAGACAGGGCCTGGTGCATCAATGAATGGGGAGAATAGCCAACCATGAGACCAGGCAGCAGAAAATAAAAGGGTAATACTATCACACAAAGTCAAAACATAAATTTTTTATATTATCACGTTTTAAGTTGTGATATAGGCTACTCACCCCCATTCATCCTCTAACGTGAATAAATTGCCCTCTGTTCCAAAAACCCACAATCAAAACTTTTCCTCAGGGCCTTCTAGAAATTTATTTCCATTGAAAATAACTTCCAAGCCATATTCCATCTTTTCCCTCAAATTCCATCTACCTTCTTTCCTTAATTAAAACAGAAATTTCCCCTAAGGATCTTTCCTTCCTGGCATTACATTCAATTCCCAAGACCAATTCCAGCCCTTTCTTCTTTTCCAATCATGGAAATACTTCCTGGTGTTTTTTTAAGGTTTTGTCACAGCCAGCCACTCCTCTTCATTTACTTATTACTGAGTTATAATCTGCCTCTCCACCTCAATACTTGCCATCACCTTAGATTACTTCAAGTCCAAGAAGACAGTTCATCTAACACACTAGCATCTCAGCTCTGTAAATGCTGTATTTCCACCATTATGTATTCATCCACACACTTATCCTACAAATATTTATTGAACAACTTTGTGGGCCAACACAATGCTAGTGGTCTTTGTGCGCAGTCTTGTTCTAGTTGAGCCTTGATTGTTGTAGTTAATACTAGAGGGATTTGACCACCAGGCCGACTGGCTGTGTGAATCAGCTGTGTCTGCCGCGGAAAACTTCTGTCCTCTGGGGAGGTGCTAATCTAGCCTTTGCCTGAGGCTATCCGGCAAATGGCTCTGCGCAGGGCTTGGGCGGGGCGGGCTCAACAGGGCGGGCGGAGGGAGCCGTTATGGTGCCCTCAGTCCTGTTCCCAGAGGCTCTGCTTCTCAGAACCCCCGGAACCGCTGCAAACCTCGGAGGGAAAGCTGCCTTCCAACTGATGCCAGACACTCCCGCTTCTCCCGTTTGGGTCCGAGTCCCCAGCGATTCGCCCGTATCTGGAGCTCAGAGTCTGAGACTCCCCCCTGACCGAAAACGACAACCGCGCTCTCAGCCACCAGCCCGCTTTGCGCGCGCACCTCCGCACCTGAGTTTTTTCCACACTGCGCCTCCTCTGAGCCTCGGTGTGCTGTTATTTTTCCTTCTAGTTGAAGAGTCTCTCCTCAGCCAGCCTTCCTGTGGTTCTGGGTGATGTCCGTTCCGTCTTTTAGTTGTATTTTTGAAGTGGTTGTTTGCGGCAGCAGTCTGCGGTGTTTACCTATGCCGCCATCTTGGTCTCTCCTCCACAATAAAGCTTTATTTTCCTAAGTCAGATGATCATTAGATAAACTTATTAGATAATGTTTTAGCATATTATTAAAAAGACGTGGAATTTGGTTTTGCCTTATTTTCGTATTTTAGGCACTTTTTCTCAACAAAAGTTTTTTGAGGTAATTTTGCACCTGATGACAGAGTGAATAGAAGTTGTCCAGTAGGAATGGGAAAGGGGAAAGGTAACAAGTGTTCCAAGAACAGGGACAGTGCAGACCCACTTCACTTCAATCACCCACAGCCAGTGTCAGACCTTGGGCTTGAGCCAAAAGTGAACATGTTTCAGTTCTAAAACATTAAATCCCAATGTCTCTCTTTTTGAACACAACTTCTAATTCTTTAAACTTTATAATTTACCTCTTTTTACACAGTATTTTCAGTCTTATAGAGACCTCTGATCCCTTGATTCTTTCACACTATGCCAGGCTACCAGTTTCAGCCTCATCTAAACCCTATGGGTTACCTCCCTGACCTACTATTTTGTCAATTTTCTGTTACATTGCTACTCTCCCATGGAAGAAATGAATTTATTTGCTTACATTTATTTTCTGAACAAATAAGCTAAGTAAAATAATATTTTAATGGAGGCTTGAACTTACTAATTAACCATAATTTGAGAGGGAAATGGAGATAAAGGGAGGAATCACAATGTATTACTGTTCGAGGGAACACAATTGGGGATTGACTAAGAAGTGAATGTGGGAACAACTCTCTTGGGAAACCGGTTGTGAGACATCTGTATTTCAGTTGCTGAACCCATCAGTACAACAGTCAAGTCCATGACTAGAAGAGCGGGTGTAGCTTCGGCAGCACTTCTGATAACCCTGAGTTCCACAGTATTTTATTTGAACATCAGGCTCAAAAACCAGGCCAAAAACAGGTAAATGTATTCTTTTTTTAAAATATACAAATATCCCTTCTCATAGGTATCCGTCCTTCCCCTTTCTGCTTAGGAACAATATCAAAATCAGCAAAGTTCTACTCAGAGGAAGTCATACCAATGAGATCCTAATACCTCAACCATAAAATATGGAAAATAAACTTTATTTATAGAGTTTCTGTGTAGATTAAAAGAAATGCTTTACATGAAGCATTCTTGCTTGCATCAACACAAAGGCATTCAACAAAAGCCTATCCTTATTATTGTTGTTATTATTATTAACGTTATGGGAGAAGAAGGATGAAGATAGAAAGGGATGGAAAGGTGATTGAAGGACAAATCTTCATGATACATTCAATATACATGAGGCATATGGGGCACTCATTTATGGGTTCTTAAATTGACCACCCATAGGTAATACTCATTTTGATATCATACATCTTTTGCCTAAGAAATATGGGTAATATTTATAGTTTCTCATTAGGCCAACAAAGAGCTACAACTATGCTGGGTATACTTGCCCTACAGGTATGTTCATTGGCCCCTCTGTTCAAGATCCTTTAGTCTTTAAAACCATAAAATCAGCAAAGAGGGTTGATGAAGCTGAGAAAAACAGGACATATGAACACTGCTCAATACAGGATTTGCATGGTGTGCTTGCAAACTCTCCTAAGTGTGTTTATCTAAATAATCTCTTTCCCTTGGCTTCTTGCTGTACTTTAAATTGATTCAATAGACTCTGTGTTTTGAGCTTCTTAATTTGGCAGAGTTGTTTAAAACATTTTCCTATTACTCCTTTAATTTTGAAGGATCTGTAGTAATGTCCTCTCACTCCTAATATTAGAATTTTGTGTGTTTTATCTTTCTTTCTTGTTCAATTCAACTAGAAATGTATCAATTGTATCAATCTTTTCAAAGAACTATCTCTTGATTTCATTGAAATTTTTGTTTTCTAATAGTCTTTCATTGACTTCTGTTCTTAATTTAATTATATCCTTCCTCCTTTGTGTTTAAATTGCTCTTCTGCTGCTAGTTTCTTGAGTTAGATGCTTCTTAAGTGATTGTTTTTAAACTTTTCTTCTTTCCTAATATAAGCATTTAAACATTTAATACTATGAATTTCTTTCTAGAACGGTATTAAGCTAAATGTAACAAGTCAGGCATAAAAAGACAAATACCATATGATTTCACTTATATTTGGAATCTAAAGAACAAAATAAACCAGCAAAACAGAAACAGACTCATAGATATAAAGAACAAACTGATGTTTGCCAGATGGGAAGGTAGTTAGATGGATGGGTAAAAAAGGTGAGGGATTAAGAAGTATAAATTCTTAGTTACAAAATAGGCACAGAAATGTAAAGTGCAGCATAGGGAATATAATCAATAATATTATAATAATTATATATGGTGTCAGATGGGCACTAGATTTATCGGGGTAATCCCTTCATACATTATATAAATGTCTAACAATTATGCTGTACACCTAAAACTAATATAAAATTATATTGAACTTCAAAAAAACCCAAAAAACTTTAACATTGCAGCTGTCAGAACCTTCCATTTTAGATGAGTTTGTGAACAAATTAAACTATTCCACAGTGGCTGACCAATTCTCTCTAATACCCATAACTATCATTTAAAAATCTATCATTAAAAAATCTTTGAACCCAATTCAAAATAAGGTAAATAAAACATGCAAATAAAATATCCTCTAGATATTGCTTTAGCTGTATCTCATGAATTGTAATGCAACCCAGGTACATGCCCTTGACTATAAATCAAACCCATGACCCTTTGGTCCAACAGCCAACATTCTAACCACTGAGCAAAGTGGCCAGGGCATGTACTGTATTTTTGGCATTCAGTTCAAACATTTTCTAATTTCCCTTGTTATTTCTTCTTAATCCATGGGTCCTTTATAAATGTGCTAATTTCCATCTAATATCATTGCCCTTCTACCTGAAGAAACTTACATTTCTTGTTGTGTGTGAAAGCTGGTAACAAATTCTCATGGCTTTTGTTTGCCAAAGAAGCCTTTTTTTCCACTTTCTTTCTTTCTTTTTTTCTTAAGGCAATTTTTACTGGATATAGAGCAAGGCTAGAGTAGCCTTTATTGTTAGTTTAGTCCTATTCCTGCCAATCTTCCTGGGCTCTCTACTAAAAAGAAAGGTATCTCCACTCTGACTAGTTGGAACAACTAGTATAATGTCTTTCAGTTCTGTGTGAGCTCTGAGGATTGTCCCGTTAAAGTTCCCATTAGTACTTGGCCTCACCTATACATATAGCACAGTATTCAGCAACCAGTTCAGAAAATCCCTGTGAATATTTCTGTATATCTCTCTCTCTCTCTCTCTCTCTCTCTCTCTCTCTCTCTCTCTCTCTCTGCCTAGCTTCCTTTTCTCTGGTATTCTGCTCCAAAAATTCTACCCCCTCAGCCTCCCTGAACTCTGATCCTGGTCTCTTCATCTTCACAAGGCAGCTCTGTCCATGGGATTCTCTCCTCTGCTCTGCAGTCTAGAAACAGTCTCAATACAGTAGTTTGAAAAAATTATATTGTTACTCTTTGCTAAGGATCATAAACCTGTGAGGCTATTATTTAATGTCTGAAACAGTTTTAAAATATGTTTTATCTGATTTTATTAGTGTTTATGCCAGGAGGGCACGTCTAATCCCCGTTACTTCATTATAGCTGGAAGGATATCTATTATTCTTTCTACAGATGGAAATAGTCCTTTGACTTCTATGACCCTATTAAAGGTCCTCCTGCCCTTAGAGCCTGCCCAAGAAGCTGAGGGAAAGAGCTTAGGAAGGCCAAACACAAAGCGAGAGGCAGGCTGTCATGGGCCCTTAGCATCCAGGCACTACTCCCAGGACTAGGCTGAAGTAAGGGAAGTGCCTAAGACACAACATTTAGGGAGACACTAACTCAGGTTTACATAAATGCTGCCCCTGTTCTTGCATGACACTGAGAATAAATGCCTCCTTCTACTTCACATCACCTGCTTACACTAGTCCCAGCTCTGCCCTGGGCATTCTTGCTAAGTGTGCAAAGAATGCAATGCCCGGGGTTCTCTTTACTTCGATCATTTCTCAAGGCTGAGTTTGCAGTGAGTAACCTTAAGAAATAAAATAATTTCTTTTCTGAGCAAAAAGCAAACTTGTTTCCTCATGTTATAGAAGCGGTAAACACCAGAACGACACCCACCATTGCATCTGCCAGGCCGGCCCTCTCGTGACCAGGGATTATGCCACAGTCCCTGCCAACCACGTGGAGGTCTATGCTGAGTCCGACTCCGAGGGCACCAGTGCCAATGCCCTTGGGCCTGCCATCCTGGCCTACGCCTGTGTTGCTGCCACCAACCCTGACCAGGACGGTGCCAGCGCGGACCCGCCCGGGACCGCCCTTGGCAATGCTGCCATCGGAGAAGACACCCCCAAGGCCACCAATGCAGACCTTGACCCAGAAGCTGCCTGCACCTACTCGCCAGGGGCGGCCCCTGCTGAGGCCCATGACACCATCTCCTCCAGCGCCTCGAAAGCCTTTGCGGAGGTTCGGCTCGACTTCAAATATGACCCTAAGAAGAAGGCGGAACTCCAGGGCACTACGGAGAGATTCACTGGCCTGTCCATCAGTCCCTATTTGCAGAAGGTCTCGAGGGAATTATCCTGCGTGAACTCACAAATAAGCTGTAGCTCGGCTCTGTCTCCAGGATCAACCACCCCCATGCAAAGTAGTCACCCCCTAGAAAACTTCTCCAACTTCAACAAGGCCATAGTCAGCCACCTTGAACCCCGGGGAGCGGTTCCAGCCCAATGACCTGCTTGAGAGCCACATGAGGCAGGGGCAGGTGTCTCCCCTGGCTCAGTCTCTGGCCAAGACCAAGGGGCTGCGTGTGGCATCGGCATCAACTACATGGAAAAGCAGGAGCGGAACGTGGATGATGCCACCTTGAGGTGGGCCAGCACATCATGGGCCTCCAGAGGGGCACCAGTAAGTGTGCCAGCCATTCAGGCATGATGCCATGTGGCATGAGAAGGCACATATGTCTACCTCTGCAAGGATCACGTCCTTCCACCCATGGGCCATGCAACCATCTGCCTGCAAAGGGCGACTGTTAATGTAAGGAATATTCAAACCTGTAAAGACTTTTTTTGAGTTTATTTGCACTAAACTGTCAACAATTGTCGGGGAAACAGAATCTCAATAGATTCAGATAATGCCCCGGAGAACGGCAGTTCTTGCCCTTGTTGTATACATTACAATGAAAGTGTTAGGGGCAGAAATAGAATATTGGGGACCAGCAACAATGATAAGAATTAGTAATCATGCTCTGATAACCATAATGGTTCTGTTCTGATTAGAGAAAGCATATTCTAACCTGGCTGAGAGTTGTACTCCCAGGGACACGGGAGCTAACATCGGAATGCAGTCCATCCCCCTGTCCTGAGAACTGCCTTCCATTATGGAAAGACTAGAGGCCTGGTGCACAAATTCGTGCATGGGTGGGGTCCCTCAGCTTGGCCGGAGATCATGGCCGATCAGGGCTGCGGGAGATTGGCTGTGAAAGCTCACTGACCACCAGGGCACAGCTCCTGTATTGAGCATCTGCCCCCTGGTGGTCAGTGCACATCATAGCAACCAGTAGTTTGGTCCCTTAGGCTTTTATATATATAGACTAGGGGCCCAGTGCATGAAATCTGTGCACGGGGGTGGGTCCCTTAGCCCGACCTGCACCCTCTCCAATCTGGGAATTTGTCTCTGCAATCATATGAGCGAATTGTCTGAGACCCCAACCCAGTTTGGTTTGGTGCTCACAGAATAATAGAGGTCTTTTTTTTTTTCTTTGCTCCATTGGTGGAGATTTCCTAGAAGTTACAGGATATCTTCCTTTTAATTTTTCCTCGACACTCTGACTTTACTTATGTCTCTCACCTTTGCTTTTCCTCCATCCCCACTCATAACAGTAACTTGCTACAGGCTCACTTTGCTCTAGTGTCTAGGACAGTGGTTCTCAACCTTCTGGCCCTTTCAATACAGTTCCTCATGTTGTGACCCAACCATAAAATTACTTTCATTGCTACTTCATAACTGTAATGTTGCTACTGTTATGAATCGTAATGTAAATATCTGATATGCAGGATGGTCTTAGGTGACCCCTGTGAAAGGGTCGTTCGACCACCAAAGGGGTCTCAACCCACAGGTTGAGAACCGCTGGTCTAGGAGATCCCACAATGTGTCTGCCACCAGAACTATGATTCCAAGGATTCCTGGTGCTCCCCGCGCTCTGGGCTTCCACTTCTGGTCCAGGGGCTGCCACCAGAACTATGATTCCCAGAATTCCTGGTGCTCCCCATGCTCTGGGCTTCCGCCCCCCAAGTCGCCCGCTCTCTGTCTGTTCTCCCGCTCTGCCAAGCCTTCCAAGCCACCCACTCCCCGCCCGCTCCCCTGCTCTGCCAAGCCCCCCGAGCTGCCCGCTCTCTGCCTGCTCTCCTGCTCTGCTCTCTGTCCAGCGGCTTGGGGGGCTTGGCTTCCTGAGTCACTGGGAGCAACCGAGGGAGCCAAGCTGCCCGCTCTCCATCCGCTCTCCCGCTCTCCGCTCTGCCAAGCACCCCAAGCTGCCTGCTCTCTATCCACTCTCCTGCTCTGCCAAGCACCCCAAGCTGCCTGCTCCCCATCTGCTCTCCAACTCTGCCAAGTGCCCAAGCTGCCCACTCTCTGTCCACTCTCCCACTCAGCCAAGCCCTCCAAGCCACCTGCTCTCCTGCTCTGTCTCCATCCAGTGGCTTGTGGGGCTTGACTCCCCCGTCCACTCTCCCGCTCTGCCAAGCCACCCGCTCTCCGCCCCCTCTCTTGCCCCACTCCCGGCTGCTCGGCGCCTGCATGCATGCGCACTGCCCACAGGCCCACCATGTTTGTTGGGTTAATTTGCATACTCACTCCTGATTGGCTGGTGAGTATAGTGGAGGGGAGGTCAATTTACATGTTTCTCTTTTATTATATAGGATATACAACCTGTGGCTGAAACAATCTAGTCCCCGAGGCTCCCACCATTTACAACCCCAGCCCCAGTTGCCTGTAATCTGGTCCTGGGGCTCAGAGGCTTGCGACCTCCCCTTTGAGAATAAACAGGTAATCTTTTCTGTCAAAGAGAGGAGTATAGGCAGCCTCCATTTTGGCTCCCTGACTTGCAGTTCCCCTGGGGGCGGCCATTTTGAAATAGCAAAGGTCAACCCCTCCCTTTTTCCTTTAAAATAGCCAATCACACAAGACTGGGAGCCTAAGCTCTTTAAATCAAGAATGAGGGACAGGGACTAGCCTGGTGGGCTCCTATGTGGGTCCAAGGCACAGGGAGGGGCTGGGACCATGAGGGTGGTGGCCCCCTGCAGCACCCACCAAAGCACCAAATGCAAGTGCCTCATTCCTGTGCCAAACTCCCCCTGGGCCCCCAGGCAACCTTTCTCCTCTTGTGACTGTGGCTGCAGGGACTGCTGGCTCCCCCAGACCCAAGGTCCTGGTCCCTGGGAGCCCTCCACCCACCCCTGCAGGAATCGGGGAGCAGACAGGGGCTGGCCCCTTACCTTTTGGATGAAGATGGATGGGCCTATATACAAGTCAGAGCCAGAGGGTGTGAGACTCGTAGCCCATGGGAGTCATGGACCTGGGCTTCCCTGCAGTCCCCATCCTGGACACTTGAGAAGCGGGGCACCTTTGCTCTCAAACCAATGGTCCAGTGGATGCCCTCCTCATGGTCACGGGCACCCAGGATCCCAGGGAGCTGGCCCTGGTCTGATGAGCCAGTATGACAGGCCTCTTCACGTGTTACATGTGCATTAAACAGGACAGATGCACCCACGACCTTGGTGTCAGGCTGTAGGTGAGCCTTGCCACCCACCCAGCTCAGCCTGGGAAAGATCCTTCCCCCGCTCCTGGTCACTGGGAACCAGCGGGCATAGGGCATTGTCCTGGGCACTCCCCGAAGTGTGCTCCTCAAGTGTCCTGGCCAGGGTCCCCGTAACTCTCATTAACCAGTCACTGCTCCCCTCAGTGTTAACCTGTAACCTGTCAGGCTCCGAGGGAGGGTCTGTGTCCTTCACATGAAGATCTCCGATGTCTCCTCTGCCTTAATGCCCCATGGGTATTCGTGCCCTCCAGTACTGTAAAGTGTATCCAGTATGTAAATGAATGTTCCATACATCCTGTGTACAGCAGAGTTCTCTACTCCCTCAATATCTCTATTCAGAGTATAATCTACTAACCTTGATTTTTTATTTTAAAAAAAGTTAGGGGATGCTAGGGGAGGGGGCAGTACCTGAAACCCGGAGGGAAAGGCTCATGGAGTGGGCAAGCACTGGCAGTCAAGATGAAGGTGAAGATACTGAGCCAGAACACAGACAACTATGTCCGCGAAACCAAGTTGGACTTATAGAGAGCTCCAAGAAACTATGATCCTACCTTACATCCTTTTGAGGTCCCACGAGAATACGTAAGAGCTTTAAATGCTACCAAACTGGAACGGGTATTTGCAAAACCATTCCTTGCTTCTCTGGATGGTCACCGAGATGGAGTCAATTGCTTGGCAAAGTATCCAAAGAGCCTGGCTACTATCCTTTCTGGGGCATGTGATGGAGAGGTCAGAATTTGAAACTCAGCCAAACGAAACTGTATCCGTACAATACAGGCATATGAAGGTTTTGTACGAGGAATATGTACTCATTTTTGTGGGAGTTCTTTTTTTTTCTGTTGGTGATGACAAAACTGTGAAGCACTGGCAAATGGATGGACCAGGCTTTGGAGGAGAGGAAGAGCCATTGCACACAATATTAGGAAACACAGTGTATACAGAAACTGATCATCACTGGAAAGAAGAAATTTTTGCTGCATATGGACAGGAAGTAGACATTTGGGATGAACAGAAAACCAGTCCTATATGTTCAATGACCTGGGGATTTGACAGTATAAGTAATGTTAAATTTAACCCAACTGAGACATTTCTCTTGGGAAGTTGTGCTTCTGATAGGAATATCTATCTAATAACAGGGAAATATGCAAATTGGTCAGGACGCCATCACGTAATGACCGATCAGCAGGTTGCGTGTAAAGCAGGAGCGGATGGGCAGGAACTAGCAGCGTCAGTGGGCAGGGACTTGCGCAGCCCGGGGACTTGAGGCTCACATCCCCACCCCCAGCAGCAGGCCCCGGGACATGAGGTTCATGTCCCCATCCCCAGCAATGGGCCCAGGACGTGAGGTTCACGTCCCCACCCCCACCAAAGGGTAAATAGCAATATTAAAATATTTCCTCTAATTAATTCCCTTTTAATGTGTACGATTTCGTGCACTGGGCCACTAGTAGTACTATATGATATGAGGCAAACTACTTCTCTGAAAAAGGTCATCTTAGATATGAGAACAAATACAATTTGTTGGAAGCCTTCATTTTTACTGCAGCAAATGAAGATTACAACTTATATACTTTTGTTATGCATGCACTGGACACTCCTGTGATGGTGCACATGGATCACATGTCTGCAGTGCTGGACGTGGATTATTCTCCCACTGGGAAAGAGTTTGTGTCCACTAGTTTTGATAAATCTATTCGAATTTTTCCTGTGGACAAAAGTAGAAGCAGGGAAGTATATCACACAAAGAGAATGCAACATGTTATCTGTGTAAAATGGACTTCGGATAGCAAGTACATTATGTGTGGATCTGATTAAATGAACATTCCTCTGTGGAAAGCTAATGCTTCTGAAAAATTGGGTGTGCTTACATCACAAGAAAAGGCAGTCAAAGATTATAACCAGAAGTTGAAGGAGAAATTTCAACATCATCCTCATATAAAATGTATTGCTTATCACTGCCATCTACCAAAACCAATCCACAGCCAGATTCAAGAACAGCGCATCATGGAAGAAGCTCGCCGACAGAAGGAAGGGAATAGTCTCAAGCATAGCAAGCCTGGATCTGTGTTGATTGTGTCAGAGAAGAAGAAATACATAGTGGCAGTTGTGAAATAATATTTGGTATTCCTGCCAATACTGGCTTATAATTATTTGTTACATTTTGATTTGTAAACTCTAAAAATAAAAAACAGTTAATCCTTGAACAACATGGGTTAGAACTGGCCAGATCCACTTGCATGCAGATTTTTTTTCATTAAGTATACAGTCATTTCTTCGTATTCCCGGGTTGTGCATCCATGCATTCAACCAACCTTGGATCAAAACAGTATTTTCTACTGGAGGTTGGGAATCCGTGAATGTGGAGGGCCGACCGAAGTTATATGTGGATTTTCGACTGC